ATTCATTCATCCAGTTTTACTGCTTTTGTTCTGTACTTGAGCAATTCAATATCAGAAATAGGACATGACAGTTTGATGTAACACCAAATTTTGTATCACACAAGCAGGAGAACCTGACTTATCTTTTCTGGCCAAGTCAGAGAAGATTCAATACATTTTTACTAGGGCATGGAGTAGCAAATGCCGCCCAACTAGACCTGCTCTATACCAGCTGTAATGTATTTTAAGTGCTGTAAAAGTTCACATGGGGCTGCTTGTCAAAATAATCCTGCCCATAACACAAAGCTCATCACTGTCTGCTTTGCTAAATGGCAACTTCAACCTACTTGGTTTCTAGTGAGAATCTGGAGTTAATTGTTAATTAACTTACTATCAGATGGTTGATGCAGTCAGAGCAAGTGAAGTTTAAACAGATAATTTAAGGTCCAATATGTTGTTTTTCTTGTTGCCAATACTCACTGATATCAGTACTTAAAAGTACTTCAAATTATTTTCTAAAAGGATATGATTGTTGCTCACCTATAATCACAAATTAGAAGTGTTACTTACTTGTGATGCCTAATGCTTAAATAATCCAGAGCACTGCCATAGATTAGAGCAGACAACTATCAACTTAGTTGGAACACAGTGGCTTTTAAAAGAACAATAAAACTATAACAAAAATCTAAATGGAATCATTGGGAGGAAGCACTGGAAATGGCGATTTCATCATCATCTAAAACCTTCAGTTCAGAATCTAATTTTTATAGAAAATGTGTTGATATGAACACTTGGTGAAATTCTACAGTCTGTGATGTAGAAAACTGCAATTTAGATACAAATGCTTTGTTTAGCATTGAGATCTGTTAATTACAGCATTTACGGACATAATCCTGCTGAGTATTTCTTAGAAGCTTCATCCTTCCTATTCATGGTACTGGGAAGGGAGTGTGTAAGTGGGAAGAGTCCTTAGGCAATTGGGAAAGCAATAATGACTGGTCTTGTCTTGTTTTATTGGTCTAGTTCGTAAAAAGCGGGTGGAAGCAGAGCGGCAGTAGCCACGCCATAGAGGATGCAAGGCAAGACTGGAGGCCACCAACAACCGCAATCTCAGAGTGCTCACTGGTCAGAAGGGAGTTTATAATGGGAGTTACTCATTTCTGTTAATGTCTGCTTTTAACCTTGAAAACACAGCCTGCTCATTTTTAACTTTCAAGGTTAATTTAGTTTTTATGAGGAAGAATCACAGTTGGTTTGATTTTTATGGGAAAAAAACAAAATGTTTTGCAATATCTGAAGCCAATATGCAGAATCTTAACTGTGTTACTAAGCATAACACAAGGTGATTCTGACCCTTATTTTAGACACCTTTTGATATATTAAAATACGATCTTGTGTATGATAAGGAATTCTCTGCTGAAGATAGAAATTTTAGGGCCAAGTTCTGCAATGCCTTATGTTTGTGAATAATCCTTTGTGTATAGTCCTGAATCCTGCAATGGGATGCTCTGAGGAGTAGAACTAGTAAAGCCAGTACAGGTTTGTGGGATCACACCCTTGAGCCTCTCTCCTGCAGCAGGATCTGGGCAACTGGAACAGCACCCTTCTACCTTGTTGGGTCTTCACCCATCCACGTCCAAGTGCAGGATCATGCCTAGACATATAAACATTGTCAAAGCCTACTTGTTTACATAAGCTTAGGTTAGGTGGATCATTTTGCAATGTTATTTGTTATCCTTACTCCACATTGTAAAGTAATAGTAGTGCTGCCAATCCTATAGATTTTGAATGTTTTGGTTTTTATAGACCAACAGATTTTTATTTGCTACTAGAATGCACAGTTTACAGCTATTAATCTTAATCTAAACAAGTATTCTGAGCAATATTTGTTTTGCCTTGAGCCATGTGTTGGACTTCTTTTAGTTCTAGTATTTATGTACATTTGTTAGTATTATAGAACTGTTCTCAGGACCTTTTAGATGAAGATTAATTAAATAGTTAATCCAGGAAAGCAGCTGTGCTGCCCAGAAAAAACAAACACATCAAAAGGGTAGTTGTGACAGCTACATAACTTACATTCATAGGCTCCAGTTCAGGTTTGTCCCTTTATCACAAAGCACTTAGGTATCACAAAGCACTTACGCATCAGTGCTTACCTGAATAAAGGCAGATTTAAGCACATGCACAAATGCTTTGCTAAATCAGGGCCTTAACTCAGATGCTTGGACATGATCTTAACCCAGTGGAAAGCACTCTTGAAGCAGCAGCTAACCCCAGTGCTCAAAAGCATCAACCTTTTAGTAAGAATTCAGCCTGATGTTTCATTTCGTGTATTTTACAGTCTAAAACTATTCTTCTACCACTGTTTTATCACTGCCAACAGTTGTCTCTGACTAACAGCCAGAGGTTCATTTTGCTTACATATATGCATGCTGCAAGAGCTAAGGGAGGCTTGAGTTAGGTGTGTCAGACATAATGCTTTCAGAAGGCTGCAGAAATGCACCTGGGACTAGTGCTGCTACCTGGGAAACACTAGCCTCTCCTCTGGGAACTCCTTGGGGACAACAGGGATGAAGCACTGCTTCCTTCTCCCGGGTGAGGGGTTAATGCTGGAGGTCCTGGTCACTGCAGCATACTCCTGCCCCGGGGGGAGAGCTGTGAGCCACTGTGCAGCTGGGCATCCAGGCATTAGAACCCAGGGGATCCCCAGGAGCAGTTGGTACACATTTGACATACTTCCCTGAGTCCTGGCTTCATGACCAGAGCTGGGGTGCAAGCTGACAGGTTGAACCCTCCCCTCTGTGCCTTTTATAATGGAAATGAGTAGGTCCAAGGCAACGCTCTAACTCACTGTTAAATACTGGTCCTCACACTGGGGTCCAAACTGAATAACATACACTTAAGTCTCACTTTACCAAACTATTTTAAGTAGTCTACTGAGCTGGGATGTAAAGAGCAGTATCCACAGTTTACCTCCCTAGAGAACTTCAAGTCTTTACAATTGCCACCATTCCTTCCCTTCCTCAGAATAAGGCTGAAACCTTTGCTTTGCAAGTAGAAAACATAACGCAGCAGGGAGTATTGCTGAGATTTTCCTGGATCCATGCAAGATTTGTTGTGAAAAACTTTGATATCCCATTAAAAAAACCCTCGAGTTCTGTAACATAGTCATAACTCTGCATGGGCTTAAAAACACAGTCCTTAAAAACAGTGTGGATTACCAGGGGAATACTGGGCTTTGCAGCACAAAGTCTCATGGATAGGAAAAAGATTATGGTTACTAACAGACTTCAGTGATTAGACTCGCACTGCCCCTATTTTCTTCTTTTCCTTTGATCCAACCAAGGGAATCCCAAATATTAATTTTCTTAAGTGTATTTTGTAGTTTTTTTTTTTTTTACTGTAACTTTTTTTTTAAAGGGTGGTACATGGAAGTGTTTAAGGGAAACAAGTGCAATCCATACTAGTCTTAATTGCTATTTAAAGTGTCGGTATTTGCATGCAGCAGTTTTACAAGGATGGAATGGTCTGGCTGCTCCATGATGTCTGCAGCGCATCATCCGGTATAGCTTTGCTCAGAGCCACACAGTGGTTATATAGTCAGGTGGCTCCATCCACATCAGCCACAGTTTGCACCATGGACCAAGGTACCTGGCTGGGGAAGGCCCTGGGAGCTCTCCATGTTTCCTCTGCAGGGAGGATTCCTCAGGCACTCGGGAGTATCCATTCAAACACCAGCCCCACCACGCACTAGCAGACAGTGCCCGGAGCTGTGCCCCCATGGCGGGGACCTGGGAGGTCTGGCTCTTTCCAGCACACATGAGGAGAATTCCTCATCCCTGGCCGTTTTTTCCAGGGAGCTGCTGCCAGCCCCTGCTGAGGGGCTCAGTGACACCTCTGTCCTGCCTCTTGTGTGCACTCCACACAAGGGCTTGGCTGTCACCTGGGCTTGAGCATCACAAGTCAAATATTGCAACAACATAAAGATCTGTTCAGTACAACAGCAGCACACGGTGGTGATGCTTGAAGGCAGATTTTCGTATTAATATACATATAATACCATTTAACTGGGTAAAAATCTCTGCAACTAACACGAAGGGGGTTGGGATGTGACTATTTTAAATTCTACTTCCTATTCTCAGTACTGAATGGAGAACAGGGACAGAAGAGTCCTTTTTTCTGAAGCAAACATTCAGGAGTAACTTTGTCTGGTTTCGCACATTGCTTCTCGTGTTGACAGCTTCACTTTGGTTTGTATTTTTTATATTTTTTTCATGGAAAAATCTCAACTTCGTACGTGTCCTAACATATATGTGAACGATGTGTGCACTGAGGATCATATGTGTACATGTATAACTCTAGATGAAGATGCTATCTCTGGAACAAAAGTGATTGCATGCGCATGGTGTGGTGCATATTACTCAAGAGGAAGAGAATTACCACGCTATGTAACAGTGACTCCCCAACATCATGTTTTTTCTAAATAAATCTTCATAAAGGTTTTGGCTTTTGCAATTTCTCATGGGTTTGGGCCTTGAATCAAGCTTCCCTTGATGCTCTGACATCTTCCCCCCACAGTACGTGCACTGGGCTGGAGCTTTGTGAATGATGGTTGGTTGCTCAGAACCAGCACTGGGAGCAGAGAAACCTCTTCCCTGGTTTAACAGACTTCCCAGATTTACATACATAAGTCCATGGGACATGACAAGATGTATCCCAGAGTCCTAGAGAATTGACTGATGTCATTGCCAGTCCACTTCCCGTGATATCTGAGAAGTCATGGCAGTCAGGTGAGGTCCCTGGTGGGTGCAATGGTTCCCTTTTTCCAGTCGTCTTAAAAAAGGGTAGAAAGGAGGACCCTGTGAACTACTGACCTGTCAGCCTCACCTCTGTGCCTGGGAAGACCATGGAACAGACCCTTCTAGGAGCTATGCTAAGGCACACGGAGGACAGGGAGATAGATCAGGACAGCCAGCAGGGCTTCATCAAGGGCAAGTCCTGCCTGACCAACCTAATGACCTTCTACAACAGAGTGACTGCATCAGTGGACCAGAGAAGAGCCTGAGAATACATGAAATTATCCCTCCACTGCTAGCTTCTACTCAGAAAACCTGCCAAATGGGCTTTCAGTGAGCGTGAGGTAGACACACATGTATTTCTTGCCTTCTCTTCTCCACACAGTGTCTTAGCAATTTTCCATATGCACTTCATTTGACACTGAGAACATACACTGATTTCTTCTAGCATATACACAGACTTTAAGCTTCAAGGGAATCAAAGACATTGTAGAACAGCTAAAGGCATAGACTGAGTTAATGAAATGGTTAAGCCAACCCTTAGAACCTATTCTGCACCTTAAAAGACACTGCAAAATACACGTAACTACACGTACATAAGGATAGTTAAGGAAACCTCAGGACACCTCCCCACAATGTGCTCTGCAATCCCAGAGAAGGTCACAGTTTGCCTACAATAAAAACATCTTCCCCACCCATTTGAAGACAGCCTTTTGTTATGTGAATACTTGAACTCCAAAATCTCAGAGTATCTTTTGTTTTCTTGGATGTTAAAAATAATGAGAGTCCTCAAGAAAATGAGGAAATCTCATAGTGAAGAGATATTCATATCCCAGTATGTGGTTCTGCTGGGATTTGCAGAGACTCTCATCAGAGGGAGTGCTCATGGGAACTACACAGCACAATTCCCAGATCCTCAGTCGTAAGGGAAAGGGAGAGTACAGCTGCAGAGAAGCTCAGGAGGTCATGCACTCCTATTTCCTATCTCCAAGATGGGGTTTTATTTTTCTACATCATAGCTTTTGCAAAAAGACAGGGTTTGGTCCTGCATCCCTTCCATTACAAGGGTTGTGTTGAAGTCCTTTGGGATTTTGACTGTAAATGTAATATATGCCAAGGAACACAAGTACAGTATCCCACCTTCTCAATCTGAGTATTTTAGGAATCAGCTTCTTCCCTTCCACTTTTCAGAGTGAAAACTTTGTGCAGAAAGAGTTGAAAAATAAATAATGTAGAAAAAGGATTGACACTATTCTTACAGT